TGTGTTTATACCTGCTTCCGCATCCTCAAAAGGTCTACACGAGTCGCAGAAGAAGAAATACCCGTAGCCACGATAATATGCACTAGGCTTAATATTTGCTATTAATATTTGGATAACGAGCGCCAGGAAGAGCGTCATTGGTGTTTATGGCATCACGTGCCCTGGATTCTGATCAATCGTTGCCTTGGGTCAGCGAGGCCGACCTTTTTTAAGTAGCATTTCTGGTCATTGCCTAATATATTATCCCAGAGGAAAAGTGCAATAGTTTCATAAACTCGTATGATACGGTCATCAATTTTAGACATGAAATATTAAATGTAATAATGGATGCAAACATTTATTTTTAATTTCTTTTGGTATAATAATGTACATATGTTGCTATTGTTTAATGGTGTTATTCTTCTACTGAGAAGATACAGCCTGGGTTTCAAACAGGAAAATTGCAATATTTTTTCAGCGATTTTAGAAATGAATTCCATGGCGCTAACCAAATTGAAAAGTCGGTAAATATATTGAGAATTTTATCATTGACTTTTAGAATACGAATAAACTGATGCGTGCATCTGCTCTTTTTCCGCTCGCTATTCAATTCTGGTTTTCTTATCATAAACGATATATAACGTACGTGTAAAGCTGAATGTTTATATCAGGATATTTCTAATTAATACATTTATCTAACACGATTTATTAGGTGGAATTTTCAGTAGTGCTGGAAGCTTAACTTTCTAACGTATGTGAATTTATGTTATAATACAACTAATCTATTACACACGGCATTAAATGCGATTTAAGTAGCTTTTAGGTGAGTCTTTCTGAATCTAACAGAATCATAAATCGTTTAATAATTGAATCAGAAGTTGTAAGTTTAATGGACCTTGACAGTCGGGATCTATGGTTTTATTTTCGCATACGGCCTGAATAATTTATATCTCATCTAGCAAGGTCGTAAGTTTGCCACCGAAACTTTGTCTCGAAAACTAAAGAAAAAATTTGATCGCAAAAAAATTTCGAGTTTCAAACGGCTCGTCTGGAGGAAAACATTCCCAGGCCACGGAATTTATTGGGGAAGTTAACAGAAAATGGATAAATTAATCTTGACTCTGGAGGCTTTGATGGACTCAATTGGCTCTCCTGAGGTTTTTAATTATTGAATTTTGGGGCAATTGAAGGAAATTGAAGGAAAAGGGAATTTTGAAATGGTATCTCATGACTGATTTCGAGGACAATCAAGGCTGGGAAAATCCTGATAATAATGATTAGGTTTCAGGGTATTATCTTTCATCTGCATGATTAGTCAAATCCTTTAAGTTATTATATTTATCATAATTAAATAAAAATTGCCGTACCTCAAGAAACCAGATTTTAAAAGCTCGGAGATAGGAACTTTAAATGAGTTAGTGAACAAGAAATGAACAGTTCAAATTAAGATTCTTTAAAATGGTTAATGGCAGCTGACGAATCGCTCTACAAGAATTTTACTAATGGCCTAACAATAAAGCAGTGAGAATTAGGAAGTTATTAAAGGTTTTACTGAGCAAACCTGAAATTAATGAATAACGTGCAACTTTACGAAATAAATTAGTTGATAACTAGGATTTCAATGAAATAAAGAAATTCTCGCCTAATTTCACTGAAGAAGTTGGAAAATGTCAGACTCGCACATGACAAGAGTTTTAAGAATGAGGAATTGTTTCTGAGTGTCCTGCGAACCTAACTAGACAATATAACTATTCTTATATTATGTACTAACTTTCTTAGTAATCTCAACGTTTTTATTGAGAATCTGCAATTTTGATGACTAAAATAGAAATCCATTTACTAATCATTGGACCGTTCACTATAGACTGACTATTCGATTTGATATGAACCAGGAATGAGTACTAAATAGTTTGCAGTAGCTGTCGCAAACACAATGATGTTTAAAGTCGTGCATCCTCTCTAGGTATCAAGTTCATAAGATATTGTAATTGGAAAGCTAATTCTTCTTGGATTCTGGAGCTGCGACGCTATCATGGTAATAAATTTCCCGAAATAAATCTAATGAACTTTAACCTGTAAAATGTTGCGCTTTCTTTCCTGATTCTGCAAAACTCTTGAACGAGTCTTTTTTCCGAGCCTAAAACATTCATCTGATAATATTTTGGTTAAACTTCGACAAATGTTTTTTTTAATTTCGTCTGTATTAACTTCTGATTGTATGTGTTCTAGATTTTTCGAACTGACGATGGAGCTGGACTCCGAAACGTTTTCAATAGAAATATAGTGAATTTGCGTGGAGTTTTCTTCGCTTCTAAATTGTTAGTGAATTTGCGATTTAAGCTACCAAATAGCATTAATAGAAATTCTCATCCTTTAGGTGTACAAAACCTCACGTCCAACATAGCTCGGTCTTGACTTTTCGCTGAAGGAAAGAAAATTTCTACGACTTATTTTTAGAAGTGTCTTTTTCTAGCGGGGTCTTGCATGGAACTCTTTCCTCGACGCTGCTCTTTAATTTGTTCTACGAGATACGTACACTTCATTGCAATACCTAACCTGAAACGGATTTTATCTTGTTTTATCATTGAATATTTAGGAGAGAAATATTCCATTTAGAACATTTTTAAACCAACCTTATTAGGAATGCTGAATTGTCATTTCATAAAAACGTTTTCAAAGATTATTAAAAGGCGAAACAATATAAGATAAATTTGTTATTTAATTCAAATGACGTAACAGTAAAAGTTAAATTTGTACTGCTTGATTTTTTTCGTTTGTTCTTTCTTATTTGACCTTAAATCAAGTTTTTTTTTTAATTTAGCACGATTATTATGTATTTTAAACCTCTGCATCGTTCTATTGTTCCCGTTCGTCTTTAACTATGGATATAATTTGTTTATAAACTGAACTCACTTCCTATTTCGCTTTCCAATATCCGCGCGTCTTCTCCCTTTTTCCTTCCCTGATCCTGCTTGTGGATTCCTGTGACACGTTTTTGTTACATCATGTTTTTCTTCGTCAGCAATTGTGCGTTTCTTTCTTATTTATTATTCTGGTCATTGTTCCCCATTTCCCCTTGCATGCTAATATCATGCACGTATTGTTTTAGCGTTTATTGGGTATCTGCATTGCCTGTCATTATCAATAATACAATAAACTCGAACTGAATGCACATGCTTATCTCACGGCGATGTATGATAACAGACTGGCTAGGTAATTCCCATAAGTTAGTGAAGTGGAAAGAAAAACATTGAAAGTTATGTGCGAGCAAAGGAAAGCGGCTCGGAAACTTCGACTTTAAATTTAAAAAAAGCTAATGAATTCCGGGAACTGTTCTGTTAACCGAGCCTAACTAATTTAGGTGAAGTGATCTTTTAGGGATATGCGACCGTTGAAGAATGCTATTAGAGCACAGAGTGATTATTTTGGTGACAAACCACCTGAACCGCCTGTAAATTTACTACGCCGACAAATAGTTGACGAATACCAGTCTATTTGTTCACTGAAATATTCCATGGTTTCTTCTCATGGTCTTCATGGCATATCCTTATCGCATCTGTTTATTTCTTGGTCTTACTTCGAGGCTTTATCCAAGATCTCATTCCAAGCACTCATTTGATAGGTTTATTCCAGGGTATTAAATCACAGCCTCGCCAAAGATTTAATGCCTCATATGAAACCCCGTACCGAAACCTACCAAAATATTACCTTGGTACATAACAGCACCTTTATGTCAGGTGAGGATCCTGCATAAATAAAGGCATAAATTTTGGCCTCGCGTTACGAGTATAGCGTTATATTATCTTCCAAAAATACTCGATTGCAATTCATTTGTACTTCAGAATGACTAATACAAATTTTAAATTTTGTAGGATTCCATCGTGACTGGAAAATCCACCGAGACGTCGGTTTCTACTGTGATTTATGACCGACAACCAAGGCTCTTTTCGTGAGTTACAGACGACGTTTGCTCACAGCCCGTGAACAACTCGCACGAGTTGTATATACTTCAAGAAAATATTTATACTAATTTGAATTACTATAATTGTAATTAAAGTTATAGTTATATTTTGAATTATAGTTATTTGGACCTGAAGTTGTACCGCGCAGTGGCCAAAGCGATGTTTTCGTTTTTGAAGTGTTTTCAGAGACATAGCATTTTATCTCATTATCCTGCTTGATTAGAAGTATAAAACAGCTTATAACTTTATGGTTTGTGTTGAGTAATCTTCTAGCGCCAGAGGGAAAGATTCTGACACTAGACGTTCTTTCGTGGCGATCAATAACTAAATGACAGCAATATGAACAATAGTTTACTGATAACTTGATAGTTTTAAGTCTAGAATTAACGTCCGGAAGACATTCTATTTCGAGTGTAGAGATTTTAAATTTATCTAATTCCAAGTTCTGAAGAGAATTTCGTCTTTTTCAGATCTCAGTCGAATAATTCGAGAAAAGTGCTCTGAGAAAACTGTGCTGCAGAAATGAGTTCTAGTGAACATATACTTCAAATTGCGCTTTAAAAAATCATTTAACATTATCTAGGATGAAAGTTTAATATTCAGTCAAGATTACTGAACAGAACATTAGTGTCGCTTATGCCGTTTCCAATCATTTTCTATCGAAACGACAATAAACTGAAACGACACAATTTACTTTCATGACATCGTCTTATCTGCTATTTGATTATTTTCACTTTTTAATGTGAAAAATGTTAATGCGTTTAGGTTTATTATTAACATCAATTATTGGCCTAACAAGTTTTTAATCTTTTAGTGTTTTGAAATTTTCTTCTTGCCTTTTTTTCAAGCAACAAATTTCTTATCCCTTCATACTTCAAAGATGAATTTAAATATGAAGTGTTGTTGGATTGTTGTTCGTTTAATATAGATTTATCAAATAACCTAATGAAAATGTTGCAAATCTATCTCTAACAATTCCCTAATTCTCTACAGTGTAGTTTTCTACTGCATTTCTTATAGTCATTATTAACACAAACTTATATTAAATAAAATTCTATTCCGATAAAAACAAATAAAGACTGCGTATTTAAACCAAATACTATAAATATCTACAATTTTTAAAGCAAGACTCGATTTAACTAAAACGTGCTTTCAATAACTGCTTTATAAAACACCGCTAAAGTGAACGTATAGCCTCATCGTCTGTAGCGTGACGACGACAGCAACAGAGACGACGTGTAGGCCCACAGCTACTTCATTAGGGTGAGTACACGTAACCAATTAAGTACTGTTTTTCTCATGCATATTAAAATTAATCTCAATATTACATTCGACTGTTAACGTCATTTATATTAGTGACATTTCCCCCTACCTTTAATTTGTTACGATTTATGTATATAGAAGTTATTGGTGTAGTTCGGTAGAAGTTGTTCTTTCTTCAATGCAGGTTTCATTGAAGAAGTTATGATCTATTCATTCAGTTATTCATTCGATAGAAGATATTGTTCACATCATTAACGTATTTCATATTAGTGACATATAACAACCAGCAGGGATAGGTTTCGATTTATGTAAATTTAGGTTGTTGTGCACGGCTCAAACTTGCTTCAATGAAATATACCATAAGCATGACTGTTACAGTGTATATATATACATTAAAGTTGCTGCACACGTCATCAACGTGATATATATTGGAGACATATATCGCTGAAATGAATTTGTTGAGATAAATGCCAATTCAAGTTTTTGTAAATTGGAGCTTGTTTTTATTTGTATAAGAAGTGTACAATTTATTTATTGGCGTAAATTATTTATGTTATGCTTTGCTACAGAAACTTTGTTGCCTTCCTGCATTCACTGTTGCAATTCCGTCGCTTTGTGTCAGAAAAATATAACCTATAAAATCAAAAGTGTTCACTCAAAAACGGTGTCTCAATCATCGTGAAGATCGATATTCATTATTCTTCATTTATATAAGTAACAGAAACATTAATCATGAAAGCTAAGTTTTGTTCAGCACCAAGCAGTAACGAAAGCACATTCCTGCATGTTATTAATTCTAATTGATATTAATTAAAGTTTAACTAACGAGAAGTAGTTTACTCTTGTCAAGTTATTCCATGCAATCTTAGTATATTGCGCGCTTCATGTCGTTGTCCGACACGAAGCCTTTGATTAATTAATATAATTTAATCATTAATCCCAATTAATGCATCTGTTCATCTCCATAACTGTGTATAACTGTCGTACATTTTTTCCTTCTATCTGCTTTCGACAAAAAGTGTATTAAACATTAAAGGTTAACGATATCGACCTATTGACTAAGTCTAATTTTTAAACTAAAGTGTGAATATTTTTCAACATTAACTTTGCAAGGAATACGGTTTCATTTTTTCTGAATGATCTTATCGATTTATTTATCATTAGCATTTAATATTTCATAGAATTGAAAACTTATTTTTGTCGTGCATTGGGCAAAAAAGTAGGTGAATTTGACTGAATTTGACCTGTTCAAAAATTAAAAATTAATATATATTATAATTTATCGTACATGCAAGCTGTTGAATTCTTTCACCGGTTTGGGATACAAGAGATGCAATGTTTTCCATTTTGATGAATGTTTGCGGGCGCATAAAAAAATGTTTTGCCAACCCTGAAAGTCGAATCTTAAAAAACTGAGCTAGGAGTGTGCGAATGTTATTAAAATCTTTTACTGGCATTCCGCAAGAATTATTTTGTACATCCACTGTGCCAATAAATGGGGTTGTTCATGGGCCAGTGATCCGGTAACCAAATGTGAGTTCTTTTTTAAATGAAGTGTCCTGGCAGCAACCGCTGTTGTTGTGAAGTGACCTGGCAGCGGCTGCTGTTGTTGTGAAGTGTCCTGGCAGCTGCTGCTGTTGTTGTGAAGTGTCCTGGCAGCGGCTCCGCTGTTGTTGTGAAGTGTCCTGGCAGCTGCTGCTGTTGTTGTGAAGTGTCCTGGCAGCGACTGCTGTTGTTGTGAAGTGTCCTGGCAGCGACTGCTGTTGTTGTGAAGTGTCCTGGCATCGGCCGCTGTTGTTGTGAAGTGTCCTGGCAGCGGCCGCTGTTGTTGTGAAGTGTCCTGGCAGCTGCTGTTGTTGTGAAGTGTCCTGGCAGCGGCTGCTGTTGTTGTGAAGTGTCCTGGCAACGGCTGTTGTTGTGAAGTGTCCTGGCAGCGGCTTCATCCTGCTGCTGTTCCAGAAATTTATTTTCTAGAGGTGGGTTTTACAGTGAGCTCAGACTTCCATGAATTTGTGTTTGCTCATATACCCTGTATTGTGGATTTTAACTTGAGATTTTTTTCTGTATATACAAAGTTACCGGAAAGTTTTTCATTTAAAACTTGCGCAGGTTTCAACCTATGAGGAAATATCATGACCCAGAAACTGCAAACTAAGCCAGGATATAAGCATGTTCATTAGCATCATAATCCCGTTTTTTGCTTTCTAAATAAAATATTTAATTCTTTATAACTCCTTTAGTTTTCATATCAAGTGACCTCAATAGCAGATTTAGCTTAACTTATTCAGGGTCGATTATAATTAACTTCCTGGATGATAACAGTGACTACATGAATCGCTGTGTTCTCGTCTTGCATCGCTGTTGTGAAGGTGTGCTGCGCGTATCAACTTTAAGGTTTTATACGTCTTGTTTTGCTCGGCATATTGCTTCATCTCAGGAATTATGCTCCTGGCCTTATAGAAGAACTTTGTCGACCTTTGCTTTCATTACAAGTTGCCGAGGTGAGTGGTGGAGTGATGAGTGAGTGGTGGAGTGATGTGTGAGTGGTGGAGTGATGAGCGAGTGGTGGAGTGATGAGTGAGTGGTGGAGTGATGAGTGAGTGGAGTGATGAGTGAGTGGAGTGATGACTGAGTGGTGGAGTGATGAGTGAGTGGAGTGATGAGTGAGTAGTGTAAAGTGAGATGATGGAGTAGTGTAAAGTGAGGTGAGTGAGTGGTGTAAAGTGTGGTGATGGAGTGGTGTGAAGTGTGGTGAAGGAGTGGTGTAAAGTGAGGTGAAGGAGTGGTGTAAAGTGAGATGAGGGAGTGGTGTAAAGTGAGATGAGTGAGTGGTGTAAAGGGAGATGAGTGGGTGATGTAAAATGAGTGAATGGTGTAAAATGAGTGAGTGGTGTAAAATGAGTGAGTGGTGTAATGTTAAGTGAGGGAGTGGTGTAAAGTGAGGCGAGTGAGTACAGTAAATAAATATGTACTTGATTTTATTAACATACCTGTTATGCACGCATTGTAGATCAAGGTTACATGCCTACTTTTCTCTTGTAATCACAACATTTACATATTGAGCAAATTATAAGTCTCATCGTTGTTTAAAAAAAAAATTGGCAATAAGAATAAGCTCAATAATTCCCATGATATTTTTCGGACTTTACCCTTGGTCACGTTTACGATCCTCGCCAGGGTTTTCGTCGGGCCGTCAACTAAAATTTCCTTTCAGAAGATTTTTTATGGTTGTGTTGGCAATATTTTTATTATAGGTCTTCTGATTCGCGAAAGGCTCATTTTAAATCCAGCTTTTCTGCGAGTCAAGATTTTGGGGAGCATTGGCGGGATAGGAGGTCAATCCGCGACAAATGAATGGCCAGTGAATCATTTTTCATATATTTTAGTACCACTGAGAAGTAGAAAAAGTTCAATACACGTAGAAAGGCGTCAAATTGCCATCGATCGAAGTGCTACCAATGAAGGTTAAGCTAAATGAGTTTAATAGAACTATAAAATGGCTGGAGGTAAATATTCTTCAGCGACATTCTGTAACTTCTTTAATTACTCAAGTTCTGTCGCAAATTCTTATTGAAGCTTTGTTCCAGTATCTTTTTTGATTCAAATTCTGAGAATAGACGATAACCATGTCTGTTGCTGATTATTTCTTTAAATTTTGGTTACCAAAAATTAAGCGTAATGGATACTTTGCGAAAAATTTTCAGGTGTTACTTTTTTGAGACGTCACTGTAATGTCTTGAATGATTTATTTCAGAGGTTTTAGATTACGTTTCGTATTTACGAATCTATAATATAGTTTTGGCCCATCCCAAATCATGAGTGTGCCGTTTTTTTACCTACTGATAAATGGGATTTTCTGAAAACGGCATACAATTGGAAATGTAAGCGACTCTTTTATCGAGAAGTGAAAGTTAGTTGCATGAATTGACGAAAAATGCTGAAATATTTTGGCTTCTTACATAATAAAAATATATCACGACGAGCATTCAATAAGTTTGACTGCAAACGCATTCAAAGGCATGAATAATTTGTAAAGTACGGTACACGAGAAAAAATGTAAGAAGTGCAATATTATTGACATATCAATTATTTTCAGACCATTTATTGTTAATGTATTTAGTTTGTTTAGTTAGTAAATGGCACATCTCGGTCCCTTGCTTATTCAATTTTCACTCATTTGATTTGGCTACATATTTGTCCATTGCTTATTTAACTTTCACTCAATCGATTTGGCCCTATCTCTGTCCACCGATTATTTACCTTTTAACTCGTTTGATTTGACTACATCTTTGTCCATTGCTTATATAACTTTCACTCCTTCGATTTGACTCAATTCCTATTGCTTGCTTATTTAACTTTCATTCATTTCACTTGAAAGTCATTACTTTCGGTTCCTTTAAATTTCGAAGTTTGCTCCAGCAATTCCCACTGATCTTCTCTCTGCCGCTCGATGATGTTCGGGCGTCGGTCATTTACCGCGTGGAAGTCACCGTCTTTTGCATTCGAAGAGGCAGCTCGGTAGCCCAGAAACTGTGATGTCGGTCGAACTCTTCAATGTCCGGTGGCTTGGTCGGCTTGTGTCAGACCTCCTCAACTTTCCTGGTATCCGCAGCTCCGTTGCTGGAAAGCAAATGTCGATTTTCAGCAGCCGACCGTCGGCCACAGGCGAAATGTGTCAAATTTCCAATTGGGTTTTCTCGAGTGTCTACGGCCTGACACACCAGACAAGTTGAATTCCGACCTTCACGAGCGGCAGACGACGCTTACAAATTGCCGTTTTGGTCCTGGTCAAATGAAACCTGAAATTTCATATAGAAGAACTGCAAAAAAGATCGAATTTGTAAAAGATCGAAGTAAAAGAAGATCGAAAAGATCGAAAGTTGTAAATTCTTGAATTGTGATTATGAATTGGAGGTAAGATTAGACCGTTTGTAATGGCGCTCACAATCCGTCGCCCAGTCCAGTCGTGCGTTGAATACAATGCCATCTAAAGTTTAGAA